GAAAATATCTTAAAACAGTTCAGAAACTTAAATCACAAACTAAAAAGCAAGTTCCAATAACTGATTTTTTTACTTGTGAAGATTAAAACTTGTTGTTAAAAATAATGTTTTCATAATAATCAATAAATAAAATAATTTTACTTACTGTATATATTGTAATAAATTTATAAATATTCTATATAATCACTATAAATGATTTTTAATTATAGCTGTGATTATATAGAGATTTAATTAGTTATAATCACACCTCTATATAATCATCATTCAGAAGTGTAACTGACCTGGTGATTATATAGAGGTCCGACTGTATATAGAGAATCAGTAAGTGCTCTATTGAAAATATTACCTCAAAAACGAGAAAATCTTTAGCAAATTTTACAATGATATAACTTAAATCAATGTTGGATTTTAAACACATTTTTAATTTTAAATATTTTAGATAAGATTTTGAACATAGAAAAATGTATCAATAATCTATCTATAACCTGTTTAAAATTATCCAAAATTGTCCAATTTCTCAATATTAACTTAGATAATATCTATAATGCTTATAAAACTAGTTTATTTTTCATATAATTTTTATAAAACTCTTATATATAGACCTATTAATAAAACTAAAAAGTAAAAATTTTTATATTCTTGTTTTATTCCTATTTATATATATTATTAATATTTATTAACTAAATATTTTTACTTGCTATTCTTATATTAATAGTAGTACATTACTAAAAAATTTCTTTTATTTATTACTAATAGGATAACTGTAAATACTAGCATTAAATATATCTAAAAATCATAAGTTAAAACTATTAGTAATTAGCAAATCCTTGAAACTATGAGCTTTTTATAGTATTCAAACTTCTTAACTTTCAGTTATGTATAAAGTAAATAAAAAGCATAGATAAAATATGATATTTTTAATAGATGGATTAGTAAATTAGATTGCGAATTTTATTTTCAAGATTATAATATTATTTTAATTATTAATAATACTTTATTATATAAATTTTGATAAAATAAAAATGATAATGATTATAATGATGATGATGATGATGATGATGATGATTATGAAGATAATTTTAATAATAATTTTACTAATAATTAGAGTTCTGGACGAGTCAAGTTAACTCACAAGTCAGATAAGCCGAGTTGAGTTTAAATCAAGTTGAGTTTATGTTTTTTGACTTGATGATTTGCGAGTCAAGTCAAATTCAAGTCGAATTAAATATTTAATTTGACTCGATTTAAATTTGATTTGATTTGAGTTGACTCAAATTGACTTGAACAATATTTTTTTATTGTTCAAAAAGAACGATGATGAATCATTCAAGAAGAACAATGACGAATCATTTAACTTGAACGATTTTTTTTATTGTTTAAGAAGAACAATAATAAATCGTTCAATTTGAACGATTTTTTTTTATAATTCAAGAAGAATGATGATAAATCATTCAACTTGAATGATATTTTTTTATTGTTTAAGAAGAATGATGATGAATCGTTTAACTTGTGATTTTTTTATCATTCAAGAAGAACGATGATAAATTGTTGATTTGAATGATTTTTTTTATTGTTCAAGAAGAACGATGATAAATTGTTCAACTTGAACGATATTTTTTATTATTTAAGAAGAATGATGATGAATTGTTCAACTTGAACAATAATGAATTATTCACTCTTTTTCCCCCCTTCTCCCCTCTGATCTTTTCATTTTTTTTTATTATTTTTTTTCAAAGTCGAATCAAGTTAAAATCGAGTTGAGTCAAATTGAGTTGAGTTTAAAATTTATATAACTCAAATCAAATCAAATTGAAAGATTTTATAAAATAAATTTGACTTGACTCAACTCAAAAAAGAGAGTCAAATAGAGTTGATCTTTAAACTCAACTCGACTTGACTCATTCAGAACTCTATGTTTAGATATCTGATTTTATGTTGTGGATACTAATCTCCTGCATCTAATTGGATGCTAGATTCTATATTGAAATGCTTACCTTTTGTGCCTATTTGGTTGCCTTTTTAGATCCCAAAATGTGGTAAAAAAATCGTGTCAAATGGAATAGTAATTTGATCTAAATCTGCATTTAAATTTGACCAGCACTATGACATAATTTAGGCTGATCTTTAAGACATGTAATTTGGAGGATCCAAGCTGGCATAGAACTGGCAGAGAACCTGAGTATTTCTATTAGTTTACCAGTTTTAGGCCAACTTGAATACCAAAATATTATATCTAAAGTTCTGGCTGAAATTGTAGAATAATGCTGACTGAATTTATACTGTGTCTTACTACACTATAGTCAAGTGACTTTTGCTGACTCGCAGGTCAGAAAATTCAAAATGCAAATGTAAATATATCGTTGATATTCAATTAATGTATTCTTATAATAAATGAAATTAAAGATAGGACTATTCTATATAATCCTCATTATATGTCAAGTCATATACCTTACTTATAATTTTGGATCAGTCTAAAATATATTACCATTCTCTATTACTATTACCTACTTGTATCTATTTACGATTGATATTCATTTGTGAGAATTTTTTATTAAAAGAATTGCTACTTAATACTTGCTCATCATTTTTATCACACTAAGTAAGATAATTCTGATATAAAGTAGCGTAATATATTTGTTTGAAAAAACGTTCTCAGGCTATAATGAAACATAATCTATTATGAATCGTTTGGCATTAGAATAAGGCATTTTACTAGAGCTTACTATCTTATTTTGTTTTTCATTTTCCTGATAACTAATTGCATTTTTAAGCCTAGTATTTTTGTCTCTAAGCCTATTAACTTCTTCTCTTAATGCAATTACATATTTAAAATCTTACGAGTTAGTATGAGTTTACATTGTAAATTAGTATTTTATCGTCTTAAAGAATAATTTTCAAAATCTATTATTGTATACACTTCAGGATAATTATTTTTTATGTATTTTTAATAATAAAATATATCACATCTTGTCTTATAAAAAATCATTAAAGAAAGTACTTCTAGTATCTTATTAAATTTTTTTACCATTCCTATATAAAAAATCAAAAATTTTTATAGGAATATTCTTGAGAATAACATCAATATCAATTTTGGAGATTCTAGTTTGATTTATTATAATCTTATTATCTGTTCTTATTAATTCTATCAACTCTAAGAAATTTTAAAGTTCTAGAAAAAAAAATAAATTTTTCTATGGTATATCACTTGGATATATATAGGTATAGATATAATTGATATATGGTTGATATATGGTATAAAAAAAATAAAAAGGTAAAGAGTTCAGAAATTTATAGTGATCATAGGGTTATAGGAACAAGTAGTAAAAATGCCTTTCCAGAGTTTTAAAATTCTCAATTTACTATACTAATTAAATTTTTTATGAGGCCAAATTTTGATAAATTATTAGGGCCAACTTATAAAATCAGGTATTTTCATTCTATTAAGAGCCTGTCCTAATGTTTTTAGAGTCTGTCTATTCTGAAGCATCTTAGCTAACGTTTTCTGGTGATAATTTGCTTCTGATCGCATATTCCTATTCTCACAAACTATTCTTTCATCAGAGAAATACTGATAAATGTATTTACCTTTCTTTTCGATATAATTCTCAATGAATTTGATGTCTACCATTTTGATATTATTCTTCCTTTGATCGATTAATCTTTTGATGTCTATAATAATATTTATTTTTATTTTGAACTTTTTTTCTTAGGATATTATACTGAAAAGTATACTTAGCTATCATATTCTGAAAAAAATATCATGATCCAATCTGACCTTTCAGAGTTCCTTGACGCCTCCGTTCTGTTTCACCCAGAGGCTGAAAAAGAAAAAGTTGGTTAGGTACTTTATTATTCTAGCAAGAATTATTTGATAGGCATTCCAACTCGTGACAAATTAGTTGTGAGAAATGATGAAAGTTCGACTTCAATTTTCAAGAATGAGATAGCAAATCATTGAGATATCCTATTCATGTCGATCGACATAGAAGAATCTAAAGAACATATTAATCAAATTCCTCATTATATTCTTCGCCTCTATAGATATCTCATTAACAGTCGGAAAGCAGTTGTCATCATTACTGATATCAAGGTATTTTTTGATATTTGTATTTCTGATAATGTGAGCATTCCCAAATTCTGGTCTAAAGTAAAGAATATACTTACTACTAAGAAAGATAAGAATAAAAGCATCATAAACATAGATCTATTCTAAAAGAATGTATAAAAGCATTCTCTATCTGTAGTTTTTATGCGAAAAAAAGCTGTATCTCTATATTATCACACCTAATAAAGACCAAAGGTTTACTACTCTCGATATCATCTTAAGCTACAATTCAAAGGTTGATCCTAAATGTAAAATAGTGATAGCTTCTGACGATACAGATACATATTATCGTAAAGTTATGAGAGAATATAGGATACCACTTTCTGAATAAAGGTCTATAAGCAACTATAAATATAATTACAATGTATCTTATTATGCGAGATCCCATCACTGCCCACATGCATTTTATATTCATATTGATAATTTTCATCCCATAGAGAATTTTGAACTACTTTACAAAATCTATTCATCTTTTCTCTTTACTCACGATCAAACATTAGTCCTAACATGAGACATAAAAATATATGATTCTTATAGATCAGAAAACTTTCCAAAAGCGAAAAATGACATATCCTAAATTTTTATAATCTGCATGACCCTACACTGAAAAGATGACCCAATTCCTCTAGAGAGGATATGTTTAGTCGATGTAGAAATAAAATTGAACTTATGCAGGATCACAATTATATGCAAAAATTAGACAAATCTCTTAAAGGCATTTGCTTTATATTGGAAATCTTTTGTCTCAGACATCCAGCTCAGTTTTAACGATTTAGGATATGATTGGCCTTTCATTGTAAAAAAGGCCACTAAATTAAATGTTCTCAAGTGAATAGTTAAGCGAATATTAGCAAATAAGTATAAGAAAGCTGATGCTGAATCCATCTTTACTTGAAATTATTTTGGTAGAAAAGGGAAATCACTAATTAATAGTTTCTTTTAAAGGAACTAATGAATAAAGAAAGCGGACAAGAAGGATAAGGATCTCAAAAAAATATTAGACTGAGATTTCATCAATATCAAAATTAATCTTACTTTAAACTTCGAATCATCTTTTCTAAACTTTCAGGATGTATGCTGATCAATATTTGTGCAAGTTTTATGCAACTCTACCCTTACTCTGAGAAAATATCACTCAAATTCTTCTTAGAAAAATGTGATCTCAATAGCAAAGCTGATATGCTTATGAGCAAATTATAGAAGTATTATTTGAAAGTCAAAGATAGGACTTCAGTTACTTCTGGTAATCAAAATATGCACAAAATCGTAAATTTATTGTGTTATAGATGCTTTACGTTATAAATGATTATAAAGAAGTCACTTTGATAGCATATATAACTTTATTCAACACACATTATTATGCTATAGGAAAGAAAGTATGTAATCTTTTAAGTGCTGAAGCGTGGACGTAAAATATTCTATTTATCATAAAAGTTTCTGAGCAGAAAGAATCTGAGAAATATTCAGGAGTATATATTTTCCCTCCAAAGAAAGGTCTTGAGAATAAATGTTTTGTGATAGGTTTAAACTTTGCTTCCTATTACCCTAGCATAATTATGAACTACAACTTCTCGCTAGAAAAGATAGTTATAAGACTTTCAGAAGCAGATACATTAAAAAGAGAAAACAAAGTACTCTACAATATTAAATTTCGCTTTAATAGTCAAGATGTGTAAGCATAGACTATACAGCATGAGAATAAATCTGATCAGAAAGGTCTGTTTCTAAAAATATTAGAAAATTTGCTTATTATATGAGTAAAGGCTCAGCTAAACTTCTCAGAAAGAAAAAAGATTATATAGGAAAAGTTAAAAGTAAAATGGATTCGAATAGCATCAGCAGATCTTTTTCAATGATAAGCGTAATTGAAGATATTTTATCCTTGACAATAGATAAGAAGAAGTATGCTGAAATGGCCAATATTCTAAATCCTTTTATTGATTCATTGTATGATGATTTCAGTAAAGAATATGATTCTAATTCTTTGAATTTGAAGCAAAAAGCGATTAAATTATTTATGAATTCATTTTATGGTAAGATGGGCAATAATGATTTTCCATTCAAATTTATAAAACTTGTTAGAAGTGTTACTTCAACTGGACAAAAAAATATCAAACTCGTTATAAAATTCATAAAAAAGAAAGGTTTTAGGATAAAAATTGTTGAAGATGTTTTTAGGGATGTCATAACCAATCTCAAGCAATGGAATTTTGAGTAGTTTATAGAGACTGATGCATGAAAATTTGATATAGATAACAAAGCTGTTTAGCAGTTTATAAGTTGAATGAAAGGAAAATATAACAGTAAGATTTTAGTACTAGGTGAGCACTTTAGTTACATAGTAATTCATCCTAAAAATACTTTTGATTTATATGGTAGAAAATTAATGCTAACTAAAGGTGAAAAAATGGAATTCGCTAATGTGACAAAGGAATTAGAAAAGGAACTAGATTTATATCATTATTTTGAAAAAAACTATTGTTAGATTCTGTACTTAATTTATCATATATAATAAGAAGTACAAGTTAGCATTCTCAAGTAGAATTATGCGAATCGAAGACCTAAACAAGAAATATAAGTAGATTGATAATTATGCTCAAAATAAGACCAAGTTGTGACTTAAGGAATTTGTAAAAGAAAATATTATAGTAAATGATATTATTTTCAAAATGATGATATCCTGCAGAAATGCTTATAAACACATCTATAGAAATGCAGTCAAAGAAGCACAAGAAATGTTATATTAAAAAATAAGTAGTTCATATAAAATATTTCATGGTGAATAGCTTAGCTATGAGATTTTTATGGCAAGTAACCCTATTGAGGTATTATGGAAGAAATTTATGAAATGCTTTAGGAAAATTTCAAAAGATAAAAACCTATTAGTAGATGACGAAATGAAGAAAAAATATGCTCTAATTTTGCTTGATATCCTAGCGAACTTACAAAGTGTATTGAAGAATATAATTTATTCTTTCATAAATTAGTTTATAATATGCATTATAAAGAGCATGTATCAATTTTAGAAGAAATCAGCCCAGTTTCATCTATGTGAAAAAATGAGATAATTGCTAACCTACCTGCTTTATCTCATATATCAGAAATTAAGGTGCTAAATAATATTAGTAATTTATGATATTTTTATCTTAAAGGTGTAACTGAATCAGAAGCACTAAAGCAAAGCATTTAAATGGATTATATTATTAAGTATTTTAGCGAGGGTGGCAAATCTAGCTAAGAAAACATAATATTATTTATATATTTTTTTCTTCTGCAATAATACAAACTAACTTTAATTTCTATATTCAATCTGAATTTGCAAGGTAAATATCTTTTCCAGCCTGATCACAGAGTGACTTCTCAGATATATCTGGAGATGATCATTAGTATTTTTTGCATATAATTATTTGGCAAAATCGTATTCTTGGAATACAATCAGCTGAAAAAATCTACATATTTTAAAGATAAGCTTTATTGATATAATGGCCAAACTACAGGAAAAGTTTCTCAATACATATGCTTCGAATCCAATGAAATCCATCCCCTAATCACAGAAGAGGATAGACAAGAATTTTGTAAATAATAGCAGATCAGAAGAAAATAACAGATATTCTAATAGAAGACTATCAATTTTTGCTACATTATAGACATAATGATAAGAGAGGTGACTGAATTCACATTGGATGATTATTAGCATATACAGTATTCTAAGCTAAAAATACCTTAATAAATCCATCTGAAAATTTATCAGAAAAAATATTGGCTCACATCGAAAAGAGATTCAAAGAAGTTCACTTATGTTAGTATTCAATTAGAATTAAAAATAATAATGATCTGATCTGAGTGAAAGATATTTTGCATAGTTCCTATTTATATAATTTTTATAGGTAAAAAATTGGTCACTTTTTTTTCATATATTTCATATTTTTTTCCCAACTATGATCTATATAATTGCAATCAGTAGTAAGGTAAGTATGAAATATATTATTATTAGTGATATCAAGGAGCTTGCAATAATAGGAGCAGTTGTTGGTAAAGATACCGCTTTTGCATTACCTACAGAAATTGATTGAGATGATAGAGTAGAAGGTTACGATAAATTATTTATAGATAGAAGTAGATAATTTACTTCATTATACGAAGCAGAGTAGAGAATCTACTTCATTATGTGAAGCTTCTCTTGGTTCTTTCTTTAATACTAGCTGGTTCCTAAGAGATCTATTTTCCTCCATTAATTTTAATTGTTCTGAAGACTGAATATCTATTTCCCGTTTAAATATACTATTTGATGATTCTATCACCTTTTCCATACATTCTATTATATATTCTTTTGAATTAAGATTCTCATTTGTTCGCTCTAATTTAAGCCTAAGAGAATTGATCTTTTTGGGATTATCCATTGAAGATTAGTTTATTTGGGTTGACTCTTTTACTACTCCTCCTACTACATTTAAATTGCAGAGTATCTGTTTTAGTTTTAAGTTATCCAACTTACCTTCTAATTCACATACTTTAGCTTTAAG